TATAATTTGCCTCCTTTAACCCTGTAAAAGTTCTCTTGATCCCTGTTCATACTTCATAGTATCTTCTTTGGGTTCTTAATTCTTTTTTAATTGTTAATCTGATCATTCTCGTGGAATCAATCTTCTTTAAACTTTAATGTCAAGTAATCGCATATTAAAAGTTCAGATTAAAAGTGATTGTATATTAAACAATGTTTTTTGAAGTCTTAGTTTATTTATATATAAAAACATGAAGAAAAAAAGTTGTGTTTTTCTTCTAAGGGTCACAAAATAACAATAAGGTGTTCGATGAACATCGTTGACATTTTTTTTGGTAGAGGAGGGTATGGTTATAAGATTATAAGGAACTGAATTATGAGTTTTAAGGTCAATGAGGCGTGTTCAGATCAGTACCAAACTGAGATACTGTATATATTGTGAATGCCTTAACCACCGCATCATTTTAGGATAACTGAGTTAACTACGTACGTACTAGTTAAGGTACAACAAATATATATTTAGCCATCAATTTTGGAGAACTGATTTAACAACCATGTCAAATATATATTCGGCTCAAAGCAGGTAGCTACTAATGAACGTCTCTTACCTACTAGATTTGTTCATCTTTGTAAAATTCTTACATGAATTCTAAATAAATAAATAAATGTAGTAGATGATTAATTTTCCTCGTTCGTGCTATATTTAATCTTTGAGATTGTGGGTTACATCGGACAACCCTCACATTTTTTAAGTATTCAATTTACTAATAAATAATGAAAAATACTCTATCCGTAATAAATAATTATAATTTGTTTATTATATTGATCGAAAAATTGTAAATTCTACGTATTAGGAGATCTCAAAATTAAAAAGAATCAAAGATTTAAATAATGAGAACCAACAAACTTGCATGTGCATAGTTGAGTGGAAACAAAACATCATCCTCAATCTACATTTTAGGATCTTTTATCAAATTAGTTTCTCTCAAAGTCCTTGGAACTAGCTTATAGTTCGATGTATGTTTTAGGTAATAGCACGGCCTACGCATAATTGATTAAATAACTTGCACATGCGTAAGTTTCCAAATAATTTTCCAATCTTCCCACAAACATATTATAGCCAATGGTCCAAAGTCGAAGCAAAAACCTCATAACCCTTTAATTTATGGAGAACCGTAAAATATTAGGACCATGAAAATATACAGTGAGATTATGACCCGACTTGGAATTTGATGTCTTAAATAAATAGCCCTAAAACATGTTATACTCTCTCCGTCCCACAAAAATAGTCCACATTGAGTTTTGAGTTTTATACTGTTTTTAGTACAAATCTGAAAACTCATTGTGGACTATTTTTGTGGGATGGGGTAGTATTTTTTAAAAAATTGTTTCCACATTGAAGATTGCATTTTTCTTTTCTTATTTAGTACTTAGTAGTAATTCATTTTTATAATGTTTGTAGTAACAGCCCAAAATTTCTGTTACGTATAAGTAGACAGAAGCTTTTTTGCCTTAACCTTTCCCCTTACGGGCAGAAATGTCAAGAATCTCACGGTTTATCATCCTCTACCTTCTGCGTTAAGATCCGTTGCATTCTAAAATGTCAGGTCAAATGACTTTTTGGGTTATTCATTCCCCAAATTAAAAGAGAAAATTCCAAAATTCCTCCTTTTTTCATTAAATACCTAATTTGCCGTTATATATTGTTGGTTCTCACCTTGATTTGATTGATGAATCAAAGTTAATTAAGGTCCACAAAATGAAAACCCGTTTTCCCTACCTCTATCTTTATTGAGAAATATCTCAAAAGGGATGCTCAACCAAATTCTTTGATGTGCCAAAACGAGATAAACATTTCGTTTTATGGAATTACACGTGTGTGGCGAAAATTTATTATGTTTTTTCTATGGAGATTATGATCTAATATTTATGTTACCCGTGCTAAAGATAGTAGGAGTAATTAACTTTCATATATCGATATACTCCCTCCGTCCCATAATTATTGTCCAGTTTGAATTTGCATTTTTAGTTCAAATTATACTAAAAGTGAATTCTCAAATTAGACAATAATTTTGGGATAGAGGGAGTATATTTTTTTTTCTATTTGTAATGTATATGTTTAGCAATGCCTCGATGATTTGGTATTTCTTTCAGCGTAGATGATTTTGTTATAAATTCTAGTAGTATCGGACTGCAGCGTTATCTAAACTATGTCACTCATTCCATCTTCTCTTATCGTTGTGATAATTTTAATTTGTTTGAAATTATTCTTAATCCCAAGAAAATTTTTGTAAATTTAGAAATAATAATACCAATATTTTAGCTTCAAAGTTTTTTTCCGAATAAAATTTGCAAGCTTATAGATTCATTGAAATATGATGATAGATTAATCACTTTAATTATGCGTTAAATCTTGCAAAATATTAAAAATCTAAACCTGATACGATGAAAAGAAATTTGCTCAAAATTCAAGGTCTTTGCTAAAAGAGAACTGAACTTGGACCTTTTAGTAGTACCTTGAATGACGTAGTGCTTTCTGAGATTTTATTCTCTCTTTAGAGGCATACGTACTATGTGCTTGGTGTTTGAGATTATCCATAGCTTAGAATCTGGATAAACTCAATACATTGTGTTAGCTAAGGTAATTGCATTTTCTTTAAAAATAAATAAATAAATAAAAACAAAATTCTTTGATTTTGCTTCAAAAAGAACTATATACGTAGTAGTTTTTCATTTTGTTGCGGGTAATTAAATCAACATATTGGATGAATCATTACCATCATTTTTCTTCTAGAAAAGCAATTATCTGAAAGGACATGCGACATTATATTGATAAGTCTAGAGGGAGTTACTAGTAACACAAACTGCTATCATCCATGTTCACAAACATCAATCGTCATGCTATAAGCCTTTTTTACTCCCTCCGTCCCATAATTATTGTCCAGTTTAAATTTTCATTTCTAGTTCAAATTGTACTAAAAGTGAAATCTCAAACTAGACAATAATTTTGGGACAGAAGAAGTACCTATTTTTGAAATTGTAACCCTAAACTTGTTAATCATCTCAAGTTTTTTTTTTTTTTTTTTAACATTGAATGAAGTTGAACTGTAATATAACCTTGTTTTTTCCCTTAAAGTACTTGCCTGATTTTCTAGAAACAAATAACAATTTAATTCATTTCTTTTATAGTGAATTACTTACTCAATATAATTTACTTATCGTTTTTTGTATTAGCATTCTTGATTGAATAAAAAATAACGTTAACCCCTTCATGATCTCATGCAACAAATGTAACGTCACCTTACTTTTCTTTTGTGTCAAAAGGTTAAAAAAGCAATAATGGTCATCAACTAGTAGATAGTTACGTTATACAGAAATTAAAGATCGGAAGAAGATAAGTAAAAAGGTAGGAGATGAGGTGTATCCGTTACAAATTTTATGGAGAAACAGTCACACAAAACGTACCTTCCCTTCCCATTTCCGTACTCCTTTTGACTGCACTTATTTTATGATTTGATTTTGCCCAATTATATATAAATATATTATCAATTAAAATCTGCCCACCAAATTTAAATTTGATGTACATTATAAAGATCGTTGAACTTAGCCAATAAGTCGATGATGGATCCGTACAAATAGTAGAATAGAGGTAGCAATTATCCTCTCTTTTGTGGATTCATGCTTACTTTAGTATTTGTGTCGACGTTACGTGGCCGAAATGTAGCGTAGACAACCGACCAACCAATATAAGCAACCAAACAAAACTGCCGTCGTGTTCTTGCTTTTTCATTTTCCCTTATTTTTATTTTGGTTTAATACTAGTAGCCCTTTTTAATTTATTTTTTTTTTGCCTTGTGCCCCCTTAATTATAATTGTGGATATATATATATATATAAATAATGGGGACTTGAAAAATAATCCAACCAACCTTATATTTTGTAGATGAGAAAAGGTGATTGATTGATGTATTATGTCACTGATGAATGAATTATAGTAGTAACTAATTATACTTTAATTTTAGTAAACCATTTCCTAGTTATTATTTTCTTGTAGTATTTCCAACAGCTTCTTACAGCACTAAAGCCTCTTGGAATGAGTCCGTTACATTTCCATCTTGTTTATTTGGCTTTTGTTTGTTTGTTTTTCTACTTGTGTTACTTCTGGTCGAGTAAATAGTGAATTTGTAAAGTAGTGTAAACCACAACTCATTGACCCGTAATTAAACTGTTTTTAGTTCATTATTTTGGACAAAATAACAATAAATTATTTTTTAATTTAACTTTTTTTTTTGACAAAAAAAAATGTAGGGAATTCGAATTAATTCGAGGTCTTACCCACTGTCGAACTAATGTATCAATCAAATCACACCAAACTTAAGTACTACTTGTGCAATAAAACGTGTTTGAAGCCATTATTAAAGCCAGTATTCATTAATAGAAGAGAAATGCGTGGAGATCTAATCCCAGGTAACAGTGTGAAGACGGAAGACCGTACACTTAAGGCGTAGTCCCCCAGTAAAAAAATTAAAGAAGTCTTAAACAAAAAGATCCGTACCATTTATATATATATATAAAAAAATCGTACTAAAATGTACTGTGTTTTGTTGCTGATGAGATATATAATGTAATTGTTGTTGAATGTTGACCCCTCGAACACCATGCAGCCATGAAGCTACCTTGCGTCTTTTTAGCCGACCCCCTCCACACCTTTTTTTTTTTATTTTTTATTTTAACTGAACCCCTCCATTTTCATTTCCATTTTACTCCATTTCTTAAACTATGTTTGTTTCGTTTTTTTAATGGGTATTATTATATATTTTTTATATTAAAAATATAAAAAAATATAATAAAAATGTAAAAAAATTACGTAGAATGAGACCGTTATTATTATTTAATTTTGAAAAAACCAATTAAAAAATAAAACAAACAAAGTCTTAGTTTTTCTGTTCTGTCTTCATTCTTCAACCCTCTTCTCCTCTTTATATAAATCAATCAACAATCATCCCAGTCCCAACCGTGTGTTTTTCCGCCGACCATTTTCCCCACAAAATACCTCCTCCACCATATTCTTCTTCCAATCTCAGTTGACTGACTCTCTCTATAAATAAAAACCTCACCCAAGTTGTTGTTGTAGTACTTGGTACTTGTAGAATTGTACTACTTCCTTTTAAGTTTAATTTAATCATCACCATAATTAACCTTTTCTTCCATTCCCGGAATTAAATCCCTCCCATCATTAATTCGTCACTATCTTTACTACTAAGAAAGATCTGCATTCATTTATTTCTTGTCTGTAAAGACGGCTGCCGAGAATCCATCCCTTTTACTGTTTTCAGTTTTTTTTTTTTGTTTTTGTACAAGAATTAAGATATGAGAAGGACTAGAGGGTTTAAGCTAGGAAGGAAAGTGGTCCGGGTTTTCAGATGGTTCATCGGCCGGAGAGGTCCGGCAAAAATGGGTTGGGCCCGGCTTGGTGGAGGAGGAGGTCATAATAAAAGCTGCTCTATTGGAGCCTTGTCCAAGCTTTTTACCTTTAAAGGGCTGAGCTTTCCGAAGCTTAGGTCGGGTTACATTCGGGTCGGGCAAGAACCGCTGATTCCGTCCAAGATCGGAAAAGCCGACGTTCCGAAGGGCCATCTGGCCGTATACGTGGGCAGCGACGATGATGACGCATCCAGGGTCATCGTGCCGGTAATATATTTTAATCATCCTTTGTTTGCGGAGTTGTTGAGGGACACTGAGAAGGTTTACGGGTTTGACCATCCCGGAGGGATACAGATTCCGTGTCAGAAATCGGAATTCGAGGACGTCAAAATGAAGATCGCCGCCGCGAGTGGCTGTAACGGGAGGCGGAGGAGCTGGAGACAGTTGTTAATGAACAGTCGTCGACGCGAGATACTAGACCACTGACGATGATGAGTCAGATTCTGCATTTTCTGACGTGGAGCTGCTGTCATTGTTCCGCCGTGCCCGGCGGCCCCGGCCTAGTTGGAAAATTTTTAGGAAATTAGATTAAAGAAAAAAAAAACGGCGACCCACGGGGGTCCCACACTTTTTGTTGATGTAGCTTTGTGACGTGTCACGTGGAAGATTTTCTGTTGTACAGATATGGCAGAAAATTTATAAATGATTTTTACTCCATTTTCCTCCTCTCTGTTTTTTCTTTTAAACATAAAAATTTTCATATTCCCAAAGTCTGATGGTCAATTTTGAGTAATTCAGTGACTAAAAATGGACAAGGCATAAAAGGATAATAAAGGATAAATGCACAAATCAATAATGAAAAAGATTTTTTTAAATCCATAGTGCAATTGAGAAATTAATTAGTACTAGTCGTATTTCTTAATTATTTAGTTAGTAATTGTACTATACCAAAATTTGGATATATCCTCTGTTCCAACAAAAAAAATTACTTGTCGTGTTGTTTTAGTAAGACTAGTAAAAAGATTGCACCCAAACATCTTCCATTATTGCTTTGAGGAGGAGAATTTTTAAAATCTTCCAATACATCTGCAATTATTTGGGCCCGTAGAGACGTAATCGAAGTTGTAGGATTTGGTCGAAATTCATCATACTCATAACACAACTTTTAAGACCCATAAAGACGAGAAATTAACCAAATAATGAAGGGATGGAAATGAGGCACTTAGGAGTTTGGACCATTTCTATCAAATGTACTCGTTCCGTCTTATAATTATTGTCTATTTTGCTCAAAAAATTTTATCCCAAAATTATTGTCCAATTTGACTTTTTATGAATTAAATTACATATTTGTCTTGCTAAATACCCTGTTTTTTTCACAATCGCAGAACAAAGCATCATCCTGTGATAAGAAACAGCACAAATATTTGGAGTGGCTTGACCAACAACCTAGCAAATCGGTTCTTTTTGTTTCCTTTGGGTCCAACACTTCGTTATCCGATGAGCAGATTGAGGAGATTGATGTCGGAGTGAGAAACAACAACCAAAGATTCATCTCGGTCTTAAGGTGTGCTGACAGGGGAGATGTTTTCGCCGCCGAGGAGATGAGCCGCCGGCATGGACCTTGATTGCGACACCGTACGAAGAAGGAATATTGAATGATGGAAGGGGATTGATTGTGAGGGATTGGGCACCTCAATTAGAGATCTTGCGACATCCATCGACGGGCGAATTTTATGAGTCATTATAAATGGAATGAGAATCAGTTTTGGGGTGCCCATGGCAACAACGCCGATGCATTCCGACCAGCCAATTAATGCTATTCTTTTGACGAAGATTCTCAAGGTTTAGTTTCATGGTGGGTGAATGTGGCCACGAAGGGGAATCGATTAAAGCAGATGTAGTCAAAAAGGTTGTTCGGACATTAATGGAGTCGCTCCGGTCAGATCTAAAGCGGAGGAATGGGCTGTCGATGAGGATTGAAATGCAGATCAAAATGAAGGCGAGTGTAGAAGCTCAACAGCAAGGAAGCTGGGATCAAAATCGTGTGTTTCCCGGTTAAACAATTAAGTAGGCAGGGGTATATCCGGTAGTTTGAGCCCAAATATAATTAAATTTGACTAAAAATAAAATCTTCCAACTTAGCTAAACTGGACAAAAATTATGGGACGGAGGGAGTAAAACTTTTCAAGGTTTTTTTTTTTTTGAACAGGTGCTCAATTAAATTAGATTAAAACCGGGTTTAAGACTTGTTGTAGACGGGTAACATTAAGGAGTTCAAAAGTTAGCTTGGTATTGTACTCATATGTATTCTAGTTTGAAATATATTTATAGCAGATTATCTCTTTTCATTCTGATATTTGAACTCTAGCAAATAGCAAATGAACTTCAAAGATTTTAGTGCTGGTATACATATCATTTGATAGAAAATTAAGCAGGTTGTTCCAAAATTCACATCATGAAAAGTTTGTATATTGTAGCAATTATCTCACTAACCCAATAGGCAATACTAGTAGACTAGTAAATACAAATAGTACTCCATTCGTCCCACAAAAATAATCCACATTGAGTTTTGAGCTATGTATTGTTTTTAGTACTCCATTCGTCCCATAATTATTGTCCAGTTTGGATTTTCATCTTTAGTTTAAATTGTACTAAAAGTGAAATCTCAAACTAGACAATAATTTTGGGACAGAGGGAGTACACATTTGAAAACTCAATGTAAACTATTTTTGTGGGAAGGAGGTAATAATAAGTAATAGAAAAGAGCTCAAATAACTTGGAAAAAGAGAATATCAAAAGAGTTATATAGAGCCGAGGTTGACAATCATCGTGTTATTGCTGTGGTGATAGGCCACGAGAAATAGTTTGGAATTAATGATAGTATTATTTGTGAAATTCGCCAGTTGGTGGCGCGGGAATGGAAGTTCAGCTAAACATGAGTATCAGAAAACAAATCTTGTGGCGGATCATTAACCATCGTTGGCAGCTCAAGATTCGATAGATAGATTTTTGTTTGAGATTTCATCATTTGGAGCTAAACCGTGATTAGAAGATGATGCTATCGGGATACCTTATCCTAGTAACGTAAAGATTTGGTCTTCACCATGTATTAGCCAATTTAGGTCTTGTTTGGACAACCCAAATTTTACCTCTTAAAACACATCTCCAACACAAATCTCAATACTATCCAAATAACTTTTTAATTTACTTTTTAAAATTTATTTCAAACATTATTTTTACACCACCATCGGACCACCTCTGCCGCCACCGGGCCGCCCCCGCCGCCGGCCGGTAACTTGGCCGGAATCAGGCCGGCTGGTCGTCGGCCAGCGGTGGTCCGGCGGCGGTGTCGATGGTGAAGGTGGTACGATGGTGGTTTAAAAAAATTATTATTTTATTTAAAATATTACCCAAACAAGTTTTTAAATTTTCTCTCAAAACACCTTTTAAATCACATATCAAAACCAAATAAAAAATTGAAATAAAAACAACAACAAAATGTTGGCCAAACAATCGCTTAGCCTACTTGTACCCCCCAAAAAAAATACACCTGGGGAAAAAGAATAAGCAAATTACAAAAGCATCCCACAAAACTTAAATGTTATAGTGACAGAACCCCTAAGTTAAGTCAACATATCATTAAGATTCCTCAAAGGTTTTACAAGATTTTGACTTTGACAAACACACTCGAACAACGGGAATCCGTTCCGCCACCGCCTCCAAAGGCTAAAACCGCAGCCGTTGCCATTCAGCTCCACCTCTCCTCTGAACCATCAGGACAGAAGCAGCCAATGGAGTCCGTCGGAAGTCCGCCGTAAGATTCTCCTTTGCTGTAGTTTATCCTTGAATATTGGAATCATATTTCCTTTTCTTGATGTTGTTTTTTTGTTATATTATTGGTTTCCTCTCTTTGCCGTCGCTTATGCCACGGTAGTTGTGCTTATACCATTTCAATTGGTTTTGTTATGGATTTGTAGTTTGATTGTGAGTTTGAACATGGTTTGGCTTTCTCTCCTCCCCGGAAACTATTTTTTTGTTATTTGAACAGCCTTTTGCGTTTAATTTTCTTAAGTTTGCCAATGAATTGGTCAGGATGTCTGTTAATTGAAGAACCAAGTGACACTGCGCCCTTTACTTTGGCACTCGTATAGGAGCCGAGTATTTATTAAAAATGAATGTGATTTGCTTGGGAAGTTTGTGGTTTGGTGAATTAGGCTTTGGAGTTTTTCCATGCTCCAGTGTGTGCTTGTTGAAGGTTAATCCCTAAAATTTTCACTTTCTTGCAGAGCCAAGGCGGATATGTATGATTCAAATGCAATGATATTACCAGGGAAGAAAGAAAAGAAAAATAAGAAAAATCAGGTTTTTTTTTTTTGCAGCATATATTGTTAATTTGAGTCAGGCCTTGTGTAGCCTGTGATACATTGTAATAAATGTTGATATTCTCCAGGTTCCAGGCAAGCTTAAAGGGGTATCAGAACCGAAGTTAAGCAAGTCCCAGCAACGGAAGTTGAAGAAACTTGAGGTGCATGAATCTTCTGATGTTTGGAGTGGATTTTTTTTTTTTTTTGGTGAGGGACAGTATGCTAAGCTGTTTTATTCCCTTGAAATGTAGGAGGAGAAGGAGAAGGCTGATCTTTTATCTCGGAGCCTTGATACATTAAAGTAGAATCCTGCCTTTGTACTTTTTACTATTTGATATGTTGCTTTTTTGTCATGTATGAGTATGGAAAGTTATTGAACACCAAATTGATTTGTTTGGCTCCTCAGGAAGTGCAAATTAAGCGATGATGTTTATTCCCTTATGTGGTCTTCAAGGAACTTGGGCCAGGTTGAAACTGTTCGTGAGAAACGCCAGAGAGAAGTCCATTATTCTAAAGCTGGTTTACAATTGCCACATAGTCATCAACCCATTAAGAAGAGGGCAATCGATCGTTTTGCTGATGAAGTTGAGCATTATGATGATAAAATTGAGTTAAAGAGCTACAACTTGACTCAAGAACAAAGAGGAGTGCTAAATAACAGTTCTATCTCCTCCCTATCATCTGAAAATCTTAATGTCCAAGATGATGTTCATAGTCCTAGACATGCCGACATTCCACGTAAACTTGGGGCTGGTGATGACAAGATGATGTTGTCTAGGCCGGAGTATCTGCAGAAGTCTTTATCTAGTTGTGGTGGTGATGATAAGGTATTGTTTCATATCTCCTTGTTTAGGCCTGGACACATCAGCTTGGTGAAAAAATACTTTTGTAATAATTTGTGAGGACTAATTTAAGATCTTTTAATATCCGACAGGATAAATGTGACGAAGATAAAAGATATGATCTGACTACGAGTTTCCCGGCTAACTCAGAAACAAGAAGATCTCTTGCCTCCTCAGGGCTGAAACAGAAAGATGTTCCTGAAACTCCTCTTGATAATTCAAGGTTTCATTTTTGCCCTTTTCAGGAGAGAAGTTTGGTTGCCCCAACAGTGGTGCATGTATCTAGACCTAAAGAAGTAGAAAGTCAGAGGAAAAATCTTCCAATTGTAATGATGGAGCAGGAGATAATGGAAGCTATAAATGAGAATGCGAGTGTGATAATTTGTGGTGAGACTGGTTGTGGGAAAACCACCCAGGTTCCTCAGGTAAGCCTGTTACTTTATTGATATGATGTTAAATATCATTGCTTTTATAGTATCTTGATAAGGGCCCTCAATCTGTCTAATCTTCGGTTTGTTGATATCTAGTTTCTCTATGAGGCTGGTTACGGTTCAAAGGATTCAAGTATTCGAGGTGGAATAATTGGTGTCACACAACCACGCAGGGTAGCTGTACTTGCAACTGCAAAGCGTGTAGCATTTGAGCTTGATGTTCGTCTAGGGAAGGAGGTTGGATTTCAAGTTAGGCATGATAAAAGGGTTGGAGACAAATGTCATATTAAATTTATGACTGATGGAATTTTACTTCGGGAAATTCAGGTCCTTATCATGGTTAAATCTCTTTTGCTTGTTGATATTGTTGGCTGTTGTTATTTGTAAAGATATGCTCTAGTCAACAGTTGACCAGAAGTCTGTCCTTTTTTCTTTTCTTTTTTTGTTTTTTTTTTTTCCATTTAACTGTATGTAGTATTTCAGGATTCAATCATCCACTTGAACACTTGAAAATGCTTGAATTTTAATGTGTTACTTTCCAAATAGCTTGTTGAATTAAAGATTTCGAAGGGAGAGTAATTTTGAGATAGGGATCTTTGTTAATCTGACAGATGGAGTTGTAGTAGCCTGTTGCAATGCTGTATTATTTTTCTTTTAAATGTCTTTGTTTGATTTATCTCTTAAATGTTGTTCTTAATCTTCTTTATTTCAAATTGCGTTACATAGTATTGAGAATATTCAGTTTTTATTCCTGCCAAGCAGTTAAGCCATATAATATGGACATAGAAAGTATGATTTGATGCCAGCTTTAACTGAAACAGAGTTGTAGATTTGAAACTAATTTTTGTTGATGGATTATTCTTTTACTATTCCATACCTTTCCCACCTGGCATGGTTACACTTGTAGAATATAGCTTGACATTATGTCTTCTCAAAATGTTTAAACAGTTTACATTAATTTCACTTTCGTTCTAGTTTTTGTGCCGTGCTCTTGAGAATTTTTTCCTTTAAACTGCAGGCTGATTTCTTATTGAGGCGTTATTCAGTCATAATCCTGGATGAGGCTCATGAGAGAAGCTTGAACACTGATATCCTCATAGGGATGCTATCTCGAGTTATACCAGAGCGTCAGGTAACTTTAAAATGGCCTTAGATTATGTTGCATATGTATATTACATTTTTCAGTAAATGTTTGGCCAGAAACATAGTAAAAATGAGTTTATCATGGGTTTCTTTTATCATCTCAATGCTCTGTTGCTATTACGTGTCTTTTCTTCCTTTGCTCATATTCTGCCGTGTTCATATGTCAGAGACAATATGAAGAGCAACAGAAGAAGATTCTTTCAGGAGAATATATAAACCCTGAAAACAGGATATATCCTTTGAAACTTGTGTTGATGAGCGCTACTTTGCGGGTAGAGGATTTTATATCTGGTAAGAGGATTTTTCAGAGTCCTCCACCTGTTATAGAAGTCCCAACAAGACAATATCCAGTTACTGTGCATTTCTCAAAGAGAACGGATGTTGTAGACTATGTAGGCCAAGCTTATAAAAAGGTACTCTCAATTCATAAGAAGCTACCACCTGGTGGTATACTTGTCTTTTTGACTGGACAGAGAGAAGTTGAATACCTTTGTCGGAAGCTACGTAAAGCTTTGAAAGAGATTATTGATAAAGTTGCCAATGGCCATGATCAACCAGCTTCTGAGTTTGGAGATAGTCCCACTGAGTTAAATGACATGAAGGATATCAATGAAGCCTTTGAAAGTCAAGGGAGCTCCAACTGTGAGATAACAGACCGCTTCAGCTCTTACGATGGAGATTATGATGATCTTTCAGAGGATGATTCGGAATCCTACTATGATTCGGAGGATGATAGTGATTTGGAGTTCACCAATCCGGGTGAAAATTTGTTAAATCTGAAGTCCCCCGAGTCTGATGACACTCTGACAAATGTTTTACAGGAGGATGGAAATCTTAGTTCACTGAAGGCTGCCTTTGAAGCTTTGGCAGGAAAGAGAGGTTTTGAGCCTGGCTTTGAAGGAAATGGAGCCTCTTCCATGGATCCTGAAGTAGCTACCGATGAATCTGATTTGGTATCAGGAAGGACAATGAAAGTAATTAGTGATCATGCTATTGGGCCCATGCGCATTTTGCCACTTTATGCTATGCTTCCTGCATCCTCCCAGCTTCGTGTATTTGAAGAAGTCAAGGAAGGTGAACGTTTGGTAGTGGTCGCAACCAATGTGGCTGAGACCTCGTTGACAATCCCAGGTATAAAGTATGTGGTGGACACCGGAAGACAGAAAGTGAAGAAGTATGACACTAATAACGGCATGGAAGCATACGAAATACAATGGATTAGTAAGGCTTCTGCTGCTCAGCGTGCTGGAAGAGCTGGAAGGACTGGTCCTGGCCATTGTTATCGTCTTTACTCTCCTGCTGTCTTCAGTAACATATTCCCGGAGTTTTCAGATGCTGAGATTTTAAAAGTACCCGTTGATGGTGTCATTCTCCTTATGAAATCAATGCATATTGGGAAGGTAAAATTCATGCAAAATATCTATTTCAATTCTGCGCTTTGGATTTTGTCCTCTGAAAAAACTTAGAAAATTTGTAGATTCCGAATGAGACTTCTTTTGTTTTCTCATTTCTGGTGATTTGCAACTTCCACGAATCCTACAAAGTAAAATTATTAAGTGATCATGAGTGCAGACATGTGACTTGGTGTTATTGCATTGGTTATGATTTTAGTCTCAATCCTTCAATATTTATGATTTTATGGACTTCAAAGTTGATTTTGGTTTCTCTTCAACACCCTAACTTTATCTTCTTTGAAAAACTTCAGGTTGCAAATTTCCCATTTCCAACTCCTCCAGAGGTAACAGCCATAGTTGAAGCTGAGCATTGCCTCAAGGTGCTTGGTGCTCTTGATAACAAAGGACAGCTAACTATGTTAGGCAAGGCCATGGCTCGGTATCCCATGAGTCCTCGCCATTCCCGGATGCTCCTGACAGTTATTCAAATCATGCAAAATGTGAATAACTATCCTAGGGCAAATTTGGTATTGGGTTATGCTGTTGCAGCAGCAGCTGCGCTGAGTTTGTCAAACCCTTTTACAGTGCTCTCTGAAGGAAGCCAGAAAGAGAATGATGAAACCAGACAGGGTGACAAGTCTGACACAACAGATGATAAGAAGATATTAGACAAATTGAGAAAAAAGAAACTGAAAGAAACTGCTAAAAATTTCCGTGCTAAATTTTCTAACCCTAGCAGTGATGTGTTAACAACTGCTTTTGCTCTACAATGTTTTGAACTGTCTACGAATCCGGTGGAGTTCTGCAGTGATAATGCCTTACACTTAAAGACCTTGGAGGAAATGTCTAAGCTGAGGAAGCAGCTTCTTCAACTGATATTTAGCTCCAATGTTTCAGATTCGCTATCAGAATTTGCATGGACTCATGGGGAAATCAATGATGTAGAACGTGCTTGGAGGGCTCCTGCAGAAAAGAATCCTCTTTTGCTTAATGAAGAGGAGATTGTGGGCCAAGCCATCTGTGCTGGCTGGGCTGATAGAGTTGCTAAGCGCACTAAAGGGACATTAGGTTTGTCAGAAGGAGATAGAAAAGTTAATGCAGTCAGATATCAAGCTTGCTCAGTGAAGGAAACAGTATTCCTCCATAGATGGTCATCTCTTTCAAAATTTGCCCCCGAGTTCTTGGTTTATAGTGAGCTCTTGCTTACTAAAAGGCCGTATATCCACGGAGCTACTTCCGTTAAAGCTCCATGGCTTGTAAAATATGCTCAATCAATGTGTAGTTTTTCTTCACCCCATTCAGATCCGAAACCATATTATGACCCTGAAGCGGATCAAGTTTTCTGCTGGGTTACTCCAACATTTGGCCCTCACTTATGGCAACTTCCCCTACATTGTTTGCCTATCATGGATGATATGAATCGAGTGGCAGTGTTTGCCTTTGCTTTACTTGTAGGCCAAGTTCTGCCTTGTATAAAGCCGGTCCGGAAATTTATGGCAGGAAATCCAGCTACCATTTTAAGGCCAGAAGCATCTGGTGTTAAACGAGTTGGGAATCTTTTAAATAAACTGAAGGGCAGGAAGGGGGTAATTGACAATTGCGCAATGTTACGGCAACTATGGAAAGGTAATCCTAGAGAATTGTTTTCTGAACTGCAGGATTGGTTTCAAGAAGGATTTCATGATCATTTTGAAGAGCTTTGGAGGGAAATGCACCGTGAAATTCGATTAAATCCAACAGATCGCTTCTCCAGACAGCTGAAGAAAACAAAAAGGAGGGTGTAATAACTTTCCTCACTTCTGGTACAATGCAGTATATGGCTGGATGAATATATATCCTCCAGGTCACCTGGATAAAGAAAGTTAGTATTGTGGAATCAAGAATTTCTCTATGCTCGAACTGTTTGTGCCTGATCAGGTTGAGATTGTTAATCTTGCTGAAGTTGGTACGCAAATTTTTGACCTTATTGTCCCACCTTGTAGAAATTAAGCTTATAGTGAAATGCATCTGTTAAGCAAAACTTTTTAGCACCTTTTATTATGTTTAGGTCCTGGGATTATGTCCAACAAACCCATGCTGGTACGAGAAAAACAGTGACCAGATTAAGGCACAAGTTAAATGTAATTGAGGTGCAAATATTTCTCCCCTTAGGAACAGCACAATTATTTTGCTCGTGCATTAGAAATACTCCTAAAGTATCAGGAAGTGAAAATTTAACTGGTGCTGGTTTTGATCCTCTGTGCAGCTTTAGAAATCATATTCCACAGAACATTCCATTTATAAATGGAATTGAGAAATCATATTCTAAAAATTTAGAAATCATATTCTACATGAACAAAATCGAATGTGTTTCTCCTGGAACTAGTAAACCGTTCATTAGATGATCCGTTTGTTGTATGGTTTTCTAATATTTTGTGTGCTGGGATAGTTTTATACATTTTTTGTTTGTTCTTTCTTTGTTGTTTGCTGTTCAGTGTAGATATCGTCTATTTTTCCGTAGCTGGGCAACTGCGACTGCATTATTGAATTTAGGTAGTTGGCATGGATGTATCTTGTTTTAATTTTCCTTTGACATTGTGTTACCTGTGAAGTAATAGGAGTTTCTAACACTGATGTCCACAGCTCCAATGCCATCTAGAAGTACCGGATAATTTCCTAGGCTCTACTCTCTAGGTCTAGTAGATCTTTCAAGCCAAATAAGAGCTTGGGTTTTTACCATCATTTGGTGTCAACTTTCTTGAAGGTTATTTGTTTCAAGGGAAAGTTCCATAAATATTTTTAATCGTTCAAAATTTTATAAATATTGAGGTTTTTATTTGGTTTTTCCAAACTACGGAAATTAATTTTAAATCATTTCGAGTTTGAAATCAACCTTTGGTGGTATTATTTGACTCTATGGTGCCTTATTTGTAATGTGTAGTTTCTTCCTGGGTATGGAGTTAAAATTTATGTTTTGAGCTTCTGATTTCAACTCGTCTTTTGGGGAGTGAGCAATGCTTATCTCCAGAAACGAGTGCAGAAATTTGTTAAAATCAACCTTGAAGAGTCTGAATGAGACATGGGTGTTTGAGAATTTGGTGCAGATGCTTGCAACTGCTTGTTTTAAAATTTGGCAGCTAAAGGATATGATGCTTTTTGGACAATAGATTTGAAATTTTATGATGATTGAGTAGAATCAATCTGAGAACTACAATCTGAAGCGATAATCCAGTTTAGAGGACTTTGTCTTGGTCTCACCGTTCTGCTTAGGCATCCTATGATCTGATCACCAGTTTTATAACCAAAATAATTTCCTTTTCATCGCAATCAAATTATTACATATGTTTCAGTTTCATCGCATTTATATTCCAGTTCTGTTCTCGTAATGTTAAATTTCAGTTTCATGTTCCATTCTGTTTTCAAAGTTATATACTTCCTTCTCCACTTTTTTGTACTGTTTTAGTACAACAAAGTGGATTATTTTTTTGGGACAGAGGGAGTATTTCTTATGTCAACCAAAAAATATTTAATTATATATCTTGATCAGGCTGCTTTCTGATCCTTGTTGGAAGAATCCAAAGAAATCTTATTGTTTAACAGTGTCGGCAGTTGATGATCCTGACCAGGCCTGCCGACCACTACGAATCTTAAGGGGTTGTGATTGTCGGGGGTTTTGAGAACCCTAACAATTTAGGACTTCCATTCCTAAGATGCCCCTTTTGGATTTTCTGTTTGAGATCAAGGGTAATTCTGCAGGTATTGATAAAATGAAACAACTGAATTTGTTTGGTCCCGGTGCTGATAACGTTGCTCGATCTTAAGGTTTGTTTCTGTTATGACAAAAAGAAGTTGTGGTCACTTTAAGAAAATCTTAGAGCAGATTTTTTGATCCAGAAGTCACATGTCGTGCAAAACTTGGTGAATTGGAAATTATGTTGAACAGAATACTTTGGAATGTCATCCATGGTACTTGATATCTATCACTGTTATGCTGCTGCTTTTTTTTTTTTTTGGTCGCAAGATATTAGGATGATTGGATTTTTGTATGGTACTTGTTCTCATTGTTGAGTGAAGTCTTTCTCTGAACTGGTTTTATTATTCCTGTAAATGACATGGATAACTTGAAAGCAAATAAGTAATGTTTTAGTGCTCTCTATCAAAGCTGCCAATGAGTGGAATTCATACATTTGTAACCGTTATTAACTGCAATATCAGCTTTATCTGTTCATTCAACTGAGAACTTGGATCCCATAATTATCCCCTTCTATTGTCTGGCAAGTACTAGTATATGGGAGTATATTCACCCATGAGATATGCACGCACTCCATGAGGAGTTCAAATTTGAAGAGTGACAATTGAGTAGTTTGGTTAATTTGTGTTGAGCTTGAGTGCAATTTGATTCTTGAAGTCTTCACTGCTGGATCTACTGCCTCTGTTGTTCAAAAAAGAAGAAAAAAGCCTTTCATTTTTTGGCAGAGAACGTTATGAATGGTTGACAGGGATCAAACAATTTGGGTGCTCATGGATGATGATTTAAAGTTTAAACAAGTTTCCATATAAAAAATTGTATCCCTGAGGGCTCTGATGGGAAAATAGTCTACGTACTTCAATCAATGCAATTGTGTTTGCTACTGAGGATTTCGAACCATACGCCACCTAAAACTTGAGAATGAAACTTGAAAGAAAATGAATTAAATTATTACTGATATTACACGCTTAATTGTTTTGAAGTTGAATGAATTGAACTAACTAAAATTCTAAAGCATCAAGAGATTGGAATAGCTATAAAAATGTTTGTATGGGGTACATGAGCCACCGCAATGAATAAAACCCTTACAGAAGCTTATATGTAGTCATGCAATAAAGCCATCTTTATAATCTTGCTGAAATCCCATTCTAATTTTGTTTTCCCCTCCTTCTGGGTGTTTTGTTTTTTAGAGATAGAGGCATAAAACCTAACTACACACTATTACATTCCGATCATATATGACATCCCCATTGCTCTGTCCTGTTTATTATTCTTTTCAGTTTCAGTTTGACTTTTGAACGTGATTCCTACAAAGAAACCTTACCAAGTACTACTATAATGAAACTGGATAAAACTTCACACAAACACTTTTTATTGTATCATATAGAATGGAATCGTGACACATATGAACTAGTTGGTGACATCCAGATCGTAATAACAACAATTTTGCACCATCAAATCAAGCACTAAATCCAACTACTGTAGGATCCCACTTCCCCAAGTTATGCCCACTGCAAGCAGCCTTGCAAGCTTTCTCCATGGCAGCCTGAGGGATTCCCCTGTTGCAGATGTTCGCGAATGATCGCATGTGTTTCATCCCGTATTGTGTCAACGAGCCACAATGGGTTTCAAAAACTCGAACTGTTGACTTCAAACATTCCCAGTCGTCCACAAGTGGTTGCCCTGATTTCCTAACGCCGTTGAGAATGGAAGAACTCTCTTTTGGGCCGAACAAGACATGTCCAATGATCTCCATGCTGCCATCCAGATGTTGTCTGTGAAGAGTTGTGGTTGTGATTTCCTTCAGGAGCTCGTCCTTCTCTACTGAATTTTCCACCATTTTGTTGTACTATATGCAACAGGACAAAAAAATAAAAAAAATAAAGTTGTAAGGGATGAATGTTTACAGAAAAGACGCTGGATCGAGGAGATTAAGATTAGCTAACCTTCTGCCAGAGGAAGTAAAGATCAGCGCTTCTCTGCTCAACCACCTCCATTTTGGCCGGCGATTCTATCTTATTGGGAGGCAAATTCTCAGTGGAGGGATCAAACCCTTGGTACAAGTACAGCTTCTCTGCATGTATGCTCTTGTTCCCGAATTCCAAGACATGAGATCCTGCAATCTGTGAGCCCGAGGTACCCCCCAAGGTCCTGACTCTAACCTACACGAATGAAAGCAATTTTTACAGATATTGCAGCAGAAAAACCATCTATCTATTCGATAGCATTTGCGCGCTTAATCAGATTTCAGTTCTTACATTCTCGTATTGCTGCACGATCTTCTCTCTTTTCAGGTTATGAGATTCACTGATCAAAATAATGCAACAAAGGAAATGAGATGGCATCAAGTAGTAATTCATCTTGTGTGATTGACTAGACAGATATATACACAAATGATAGAAGTTACCTGTCTTCCATCCAAGCGACACTATATAAATCCCCTAAACATGGGAAATTTTTGTAGTCACAGTAGGTTGCGTAGCTATTCTCGTCTGGTTTTGATGCTGTGGTCACATAAATGTTCAGATTTTCTGGCATCAGACCATCGAAAATGCTCCCACTTTCACATGCCTCAACATATACAACCTACATCAACATAATCACAGTTTTACAGTGAGCTTGTAACCATGTCTTGTTCATCCAATCACTTATCAGTGAGTATAATACAGTAAAGCAGGACACCAATTAAGTCAACTACCATTTCTTTGTAGGTTCCAGAAGCGTGTTTCTTCTTCAATACATTAATAAAATCTTTAGCATAAAGGTAAGGACCCCCCGGCATTCCTGAAATACATACCACAGAGACTTGTAAACCTCAATATCTTCTTAATTGATATCAAAAGCTCATAAACCCATCTCAACTTTTCAATTACAGGCTAACATCTACAAAGATGGGATTGGATTAGTTAATCAGAAAACATACCAAGAATTCCAGGGCCTCCATGATCAGTATAGTAAATAAAGATCCTGTCATTGCTAGAACTGTTGACAACCTTCCCGCTTCCACCCTTCACAGCATTCTTATCTCCAAGGATTACAGCAAACAGATTCTTAACACTTACTTGGTCACCGGTGTAATCCTGTCAAGAATAATCCCAAATATCCAAAAACTCAATTAGTCATCTAATCAATCGAAGTGACAAAATATGATGCTTACAAATGGAAATTAAACCTTGGGAACACCGGCATAAACGTCTTCACCATCTGGACGGTTGATTATTTTGCCGGGTCTAGGATTAGACTTGTGATTGGCGATATCATCATACATGAAAACCACAATGTTTTCATCCTTCAATCCTCCCTTTTTCAGAATTTGGTACGCGTGGCATACATCCGACTGTTTTGAGCATTCCGTATTTCCATCAATTAAGTAAGTAGGCAGAAACAAATTATAAAAATGTCTTCAAAACCAACTCAATTTCCCAGGTTACATAATCTTTCAAAATCAGCTTTAGGATTACCAAATCATGTCAAAGCACCAAACCAAAAGGGATATAAATTTAATGAGAAATTAAAAACTTTGACTTGGAGAGTTGTTCAATGATTTTTTTTTGTTTACCTGATGCCGATAATTTGAAAGACCATTGGAACCGGCAACAAGAACAGCCCACCTAGTGCCTGAGTTTTCTTCCCCAACTTCAGATTCAGGGTCATCCACCGGTGACCGGATAATCGGTTCCCAACCCGGGAGGCGGTTTCTCAATCTGTCTCCTCTGCCAATTTCAGGAACAACAGCCACCATTTGAAGCATCAGAACCAAGCTAATACACAAAACAATCCTAAACCCAGCCATCCTGCAAAAGCTAAAAAAACCAGCCCACCAAATACAGCAGAACAATTGGACAAGTGAGAGAAAGGGGGAGTAAAAAGTTGAATGCTTTAAGATATATGAAAACGTTTTTTTTGAGCTTAAGCTGAAGAATGGTGGGATTTTGTGCGTGTTATTTATAGCGGCGGTTTGCCATGCAAAACCACAGAGTGACACCTGGGAGAAGAGAACCAGAGCTGTGGGGTCCAACAATTAGTTTCTTTCTTCACCATTTGGAATTCCTTAATTGTGTGCTGACGATGAAAATTAATCCAGATTCTGTAAATATTGCTCATTTGACTTCATTGAAACATAAAAAAAGGATGGTTAACTTACTCCTTGTTTTTCACAGACTATGCAAAAAGTCATTGTGAATTCTTCATCACAGTTCAGTAATCAACTTAATTGAGTATAAATTGGATTGCGTGATATCTATCAAAGAAGATTTCAGGGATTGTTTGTTTGTTTGCAGAGATGAAACTATACCAGTAATGGCTTTCAGGTTTAAATAGTTATCAATCTTCACCAACACAGATACTAGAAGCGACGGCAATTTTAATAACAGATCCAGCATATTTGTATAAATTGTTCCTGAAGATTCAGGGACCGGGGGAATTTCAATGCTGGAAGCAATTGTTAAAGAACATTTCCATTAGAAAAAAATAACCTTATGAAATCACGAAAAGCAATTGCTCCCGGCATTGAAAAGATTTAAGAAAAGGTAAAATACTTCACAAAAAGAAGCGTATCAGACTGCCTTTGCCAGCGACTGGATAAAATATTAAAGTAAAAAAATATTTCAATGTAATATTTCTGCAATACAAAGGCGCAGAGCCTGAGGAGTAAATTAAAGATACTGTAATTAACATTATTATTTATTACACTTATTTCGCTCGCAGCCCACAACGTATAACGCGGCTGAGACCAAATCCTATTGGCATTTTGATGCATTAACTGGAATTGGATACAAAATTGGGGATCCAAGCCTATAAACCAGAAATGCGTATGCCAGGAAAGCTAAAATCTTTTCATTTCTTCTTAAATGATGTTGTCAAAAAGAAGCCTAAAACAATTATAGGAGCTAGCTCCTTCAGTACTTGCCTCTCCAAGAATGCCACTTCAATTTCAACTGGAACCACAAAGGAGGAACCCCTAAAATCCCTCTACTCAGCCCTGGATCAAACACATCAAAGTGGGCACGTCTTAAAGTGTCCAGGATGACATCGGCTGGTACAGCAGGCAGAAGCACCGCGCGAGCCTCAGCGGGCACTGTTCCAGACAATTCACGGGCTTTCAGCAGATGGGTATTGGCAACGGATGCCATCTCAAAAACTGCATCACATAGCCCCTCACGAGAATCGATCAGAATTTCTCTACGACCACCTTGTTTTGTTAGCAGCCCATGTTTCTCAGCCACCTGAGCAGGAATGTAGGAACAATGACGACCACGGCTAGCGTGGTAGGGCAATGATCTAAGCAGCACGAGGAGACCGCTAGCCTTGCCTATATGCGATGCAGCATGATCAGCTGCAGTCGACGCGACACCACCTGCTTGAAGCGTTGTGTACAAAATGGTGGATGCAGTGTCCTCAGCGTACCGCTCCAGTTCTTCAATAGTTTCAGGAATGTCAGAAACTTCTCTCTTGGCATCATTTACCCGAGCTTCCACAGATCGCTTGAGCCAGCTCTTGCTTATTTTATGCTCAGAAACCATGGCTGTCAGCGCCTGGGCAACTGGATGCTCAATGGACTTATGGGAAAAGATTTTGTCAATGGCTTCTTGCCACCATAACAGGCGCATGAGCCCGATTTTGGGATCAGAAGCAACATCCATAGCTCTAGATGTTTCGACATTAAATGCACGGAGCGCAAATGCAGCCCTCCTCATGTTTGGTGGGAGTTCAAGGAGACAAAGATAATGAGGATAGTCATAATTTCGGACTTGCTGCACACAATAGGAGAATGCTGCTCGCATGCCACTAGATGCAGGCGCACCATTCATCATTTTCCCTGTCTTCTGCAGGAAACTCGTATTTTACCAACACAGAATAATGAGCTGCTTGACACAAATCAATAAAGACTGCTAGAAAACTCTAAACCGAAAACTTATATCCAACTTCTTTTTTCTTGTTTTTCACTGAGGCATTTCAACAAGCATGTATGATGCATATAAGTAGAAACTCTTATCTCAAACCCTTCGACAAATTGGGATAATATCAACAATCGATAATTCCACAATCAGCAGTCGTAGAATCTGTGAACTCCAAACAACAGGAGATTTTGCGTTACTTCAACAAGTTCTCACCGAAACAACAAAAGCAAAAGGGAAAAAATGAAAAGCTATTTATGTTGTTGGTAGGGAGGAAAAATAGAAAGGCGGTGAATTTGGACATAAAAACGAAACAAAAGAAAAAGAATATAAGAATTTTTTTATTTTTTTTTTGTAAGAGATAAGAAAAAAATTATTCAAATCTTCCGGGGCCTCCTCTTTCAGGGTTCTCGCCGAGTGAGAGAAATAGAGATTCAATTAGAAAAAGTGGTTTAGCTATAACTATAGGTGTTAAAGTCCGTTGGACGAGAGAAACAAACAAAAATAAGGATTATAATACATTGATCAAATTAAATATAATTTGTTTTTCTATGAATCTTATATGAAAACAAAAATATTAATTATAAAATATTCTCTATGTTCCGAAATAATTGTCCAGTTTGAATTTTTATATTTAGTCTAAATTGTCTAAAATTAAAAAATCAAACTGGACAATAATTTTTAGAACAGAGAGAGTATATAATGGTTTCATTCACACTAAAAATATGTTCTAAAGGTTAATCAATAGATTGGCATGTGACATATGTTCTTGCTGCAAGAATGAAATTGTGAATTTTGTCTTGCATTGTCTAAATCAGCTATACCCACAGTTCCACTTAGTAAAATTTTGCCTGCCTTTGCATTATGTTAGGTTGCCGCTGAAGAACTAAACCATAATACAAAAACGAAAAGCACATTACCATATCAATATGGTTGTGCTTTATTTTAACTAAGGTGGAATGTTAAGAAACCTCAAAAAGAAAAAGAGAGAGTGAGAACTCCGACTTGAAATCGAATAATCATATGTCTTCCAATCATATGAGTGAATTCGTGTAATCCTGTACACCAAGGTTAAGCAAACAACTATCGTATGTAATCAATTAATCTTTATGCCTATTTTCATAATTCTAATACTCTAAAACTTGACTCATCTCTAATGTACTGATATCGCATCATCTCTACTAGTCCTCCTTTCCTCTCATCTTCAATGTTTCTGAGAAGACAACGTGTATTATTACTTCCCGCATCCCGAAATTATTGTCAAATTTAAATTTTTTATTTTTAATATAAAATGAACTAACAATGAAACTTTAAACTGGACAATAATTTTGGGAGATAGGGGATAATTATCTATGTAAATAAATAACTAATAAAGCTTTTGAAGTGCCTTTGACAATGTCGTGCAAAGATTGTACCAAAATCCTACTACCTTTACAACAGTGCATCCCAGAATTTTAAAAAAAAAAAAAAAACTAATACGTTAATATCTTCTACTAAACTCCTAATTTGAGGACATTTTCAGGCTTGTCACAATTCCTTGCTGCTAGGATACTAACCACCTAAACTTGATAATTTAGATCATCATTACCTTTGTTTCTTGCTAAACTTTTCGGCTGGCCTTTGCCTTTGCTCGAGCTACCAAAACTACCATGTGTGATGAGACAACTGTTCCCATGCTCGAATGCCACATTTGTCTGATCTATATCAGCATCATTAGTTCAAATACTGAACTCAATACCTTGTGCATCAGCCTTTGGTCTTGTTATTTTTCTGGATTTTTCCTCGGCTCATGCCTCATACATACATTCTGAACCACCTTAATTAGGTGATTAGGCTCTTCACTTTTTGCATCATGCATCTGACTAAGATTGTCTCGTTTATCACACAAGTTAGTGTCTGAATTGCTTAGACTGCAAAACTAAGGATACGCAACCTCTGAAGTTATGGACAATGATCAATAAATATATATTTTTAAGAAAAACAATTAAACTCCGAAGTTGATGTATTAAGAGATCGTATAACACTGCAAATCATTTTAAATCCCTTAGACTGCCTAAATAAGGATATGCAACCTCTTAAGTCAGATAATCATAGATCTAGTTTTCATTGGTTGATTGATGGTTGAACCATAAATGAACAATTGTTAACTAAATTTTTTTTAGTACAAATAACAATCAGTAGAAAGTGGTGAGAACCAACCAGTTCACTTGTTAAGAAAATTACAGTAGATGCATAATTCACTTCTTCAAGGGTAACATTAGTAGCTATAAAATTGTTAATTTCTAAAAGATCTTTCATAATACATCGTCCAAATCACCATTGAGTTTGTCAGCCTTCTTAAGAACATACTCATCCTCGAGATGAAAAGATATATAATGAACAACTAAGAAATTCACATTATTGGTAACTTACGCAATCAAATGAAAAATCTTATCATTTATATCATCTTACGTAATACGCAAAGGTCAGGAGAAAATCTTATCATCTTGAATCTTAAATTTCAAAGGTTGAACTATCAAATGAAAGCACCAATCTGACATTACATGCTCTTTTCTCAGCTCGTCACATCAAACATGTTGAGTAAGACCTTTCGATAAAAATCACTGAATTTGCAGCTACTCTGATCGTACTACATAATCAACTATGATAACAGTGACTATTGGTAGTCAAGTATTCCTCAGTTCCAATTAGAAAAGGTTTGATAGCGGCCTCATTTCATGGGATACGATTAACAAATTGATAGTTCCAATTAGAAAAGGTTTTTCAATCAACAAACTTTTGGTAGTATGGTTCTAAACTAAAGGCCACATAATTAGGGATTTTCTTTTGTATTTGAAAAGATTTTTTCATGATCATACAATATTTAACAAATTCCCAATTGTTTATTTTACCAATCCGCGTCTAGCCGTATTAGTTAGATAAATAAAGAGCACTTATTTAAAACATAATAGTTAATAGTGCCTATGCACATACCTAAGGTTTTTTCTCTCTGGAGTTTACCTTAGTATAGTGTATAGATTAACAGAGAAATAGAGATTCAATTAAAAAAAATGGTTTAGCTATAATTAACATAGCTAGTCAGGGCTTCGTTTGATTCAATTCGACAGGATAAAGAAGAAAAGAAGTAGACTTTAATAAATTTATAAATATGGTAACATTAATCAATAATAAAAATTTCCACTTTTAATACCACAAGCTATTATCTCAACTAAAAATAAAAATTTGAATTGATAATTATTTTTGGAGGGAGAGCCTACTCGTTACTACAAATAAAAAGAAAAAAAAAACTACTATTTACTACATAATGTGGATGCCTCAAGTTGTAATATCAAAATTTCACTAAATGTTTCGAAAGGAACTGAATTGCATCACATGAGAGTGAAATTTGGAAATCAAAGAAATTTTTCCAAGGTTTATCAGAAGAAAGTCTGTGACCCCTTCCTACCAGAGTCGGCTTGTTGGTGAACCTAGGACTTTAGGCCCAATTTGGAAATCCCCATGAAGTATTATTAATAAAAAAAGATTATATATTTAAAAAATACAGTAGATGGATTTAGAGTAAAAATTTAAATTTATTTCAACATATAATTAGTTGCCTAAAATTTCAGTTTCCCAATTTTAACTCTAATAAGGCCTCTTAACTTGATTGCTTTAAATATTAAGTGAGACATTAACTAATTATAAGAAAAAAAGAATAATGAAGTGACGTGAGGTTCATTAATTTCCACCTCAACAAAAAAAAATTATTATTTCCAAATTTCAATTAAGTAGTGATCAATAATCAAGTTTTCCAACTACCTCAATCTCTAAAATTTTAGTTTTAAAAGGCATCGTTATCTTTTTTCTAATTACTATATTTTTTTTATTGCAATTATTTAGTTTTATTACAAATCAGGTAACGCTGAGAGTTATTTCAAATATAATTTTATTAGGCGAACTACATTTTACCCCCCGAGTTTTGACCTCTTAACAATGTCCCCCTCGAGTTTTTATAATACTACCAATACCCCCCTTGACAGGGTGAAAGAAAAAATGAATGCCGGAAACGAGTTAAATGACCAAAAACCCATAACTAATTCCAGCTAAATTTAAGAAATTTAGATAAGGGCTAAACATCAATATTTACATACATTTTATATTAATCCTTCTTGTTAAATCCGTATTTTTTCCCCATTATCTCTCCATTGTATCACCACCGTTTTTGTCTCCCTTATCTCCAGTTTCCACTCCCACCACTTCTGCCTCCCTACCCCATCACAGAAGCCGTGAAGATTCGATGCCAACCAGATTCGCTGTTACCAATATCTCAGATTCCATTGTCGATGAGTTTCGCCATCGACACCTTCGTTTTTGTAGTAGCCATGTTTGAATCATTAGACATATACTCCCTCTGTCCCAAAATTATTGTCCAGTTTAAGATTTCACTTTTAGTACAATTTGAACTAGAAATGAAAATCTAAACTAGACAAGGATATGATCGAATACAAGGAGCTCCTTGAAGCTTGTGAGAGCGTCGACGTTACGAAAACGGCCGATGAGGCTTTCGAGTTTGCTAGAGTTCTTGATGAGGCCGGCGTCGTTTTGCTCTTCAGAGATAAGGTTTATCTACATCCGGACGAGGTATAGTATCAAACCTCTGCTTTTAATGTTCTATTCCATGTATTTCTGATTTTGTGAGTGTATAATTGCTTACTTTCGGATACTGGGCTGTGGAAATCAGACTCTTTTACTATTTGAGAGTGGAGAAAGTAACAACTGGATGATGAATCTGCTTTAAGATTTTTTAGCCCCCGAGGTACTTAAATGTTAAGTGTTTCTTGTCATAACTTTAGTTTGTTTTTTAACCTTGGATACTCTTTGCTATGCTTAACATGGGAACGTTTTACTGTATATGGTCTACTACTTGAGCACAATGTGAAAGATGATTTTTTTGCCTCCAGTAAGATGTAATTTATTCATTGTTGACATTGTATAGCTGGAAAGAAAATGACAAATTTTTTCCAAACAATGATTGCCTTGAGATGTTGTTTCATATACTACAAGCATCTCGACTAGGGAGATACATGACTTGATTGTGTTGTATGGCTTGTCAATTTTTACAACATTGTTCTTAGGATAGTTTTCTAAGAAATTTAGATCCGTATCCACATTGAATTTGGTGTCATAACATTTTCTAGTCTGCTCACTAACTATGCAGTTGTATTTGTTGTGTTTCACTAGCCTATAGATTTTTTATTGTGTTCCTGCTTTCTATCACCTTTTTTGATCTTCTCTTTTGGTTATCATATGTATATACCACATCCCTATTAGTGATAGTTATTGACATATGCATCCTTTTCATGTTCAGGTGGTTGACTTGGTTAGAAAAGCTGGTCCTCTTACACTGTTACCTGACAATGACCCTTGCAAGGATGAGATGAACCAGCTGCAGGAGAAAAAGGAACAAGTTGACAGGCTTGCGCACAAGCAGGTTTGCTACATTATGTGGACAGGTTTAGGCCTGGCAATGATACAGGTCGGTTTATTCTTCCGACTAACATTCTGGGAGTTCTCTTGGGATGTTATGGAGCCAATTGCATTTTTCACTACTACAACTGGTATAGTCATTGGGTACGCTTACTTCCTGTTCACGTCAAGAGATCCAACATACCAAGACTTCATGAAGAGACTCTTTCTTTTGAGACAGAAGAAGCTCATCATGAAGAGTCCATTTCAATCTTGACAAGCTTCGTTGTTGTACAAGGAGAAGACGCAAGATCGGCAGAAAAGAAGAATCTGACAATACCCATGAACAAAATTCCGGTGGACACTTGATATTAAGAATAACAAAAGACAACACCACAAAAAGGATGGGAAAGGATGCAACATCATATGAACGTAAGTAGCGGAACAAATGTGTAATTCCTGTTTTTAAGATGTGTTATAAACTACATATTCTAAATGAATGAAATAAATATGGAGTAAATCTCTTCAATTTTTTACCTCACAGAGATCCATCACAAGACTTCATATATGCATCGCTCCAGGTTGACTAATGAAGGGGTTGTGTGATTATGCAAGTTACAATTAGTTTCATAATTCTAAAGTAAATTAAGCAAAAGATTTGTTTCATTAGTTGATCATGTTAAGTCGTACAAAGGATGCATTTTCATTTCGTATATCTAGATTATTCATTTGGTTTGTTTCTAATTCATATCGAATTAAACTGGTCATTCAGGAACAAAGATATTGATTTCTGACTTGCAAATACTATTTACTAACACAAGGTTCTCGAAGATGGGGAATTCAGCAAAGTTAGCTATACTTCTGTGTGTATCCAATGATTTCTCCAAAAAATAATGATATATGGTCTTAATCCTCGAGTATGACCTCAATCTATCTCCGCAATTGGACAAATCCAAAAAGATCCATAAGCAAACTCAAGCTTGGTGCAGTGAATTAAAATATGAAATGACACCTAAATAACATATATCGCACATGGGAGATAAAGGAGATCTTGGAAGGGTTGGAAAAGACCAACTCATTGAGCAATGAGTAGTCGGCTGACAAGAAAAACATACAGCTGGTTTTGGTTAATTTCATACAATACTGAATATAATTTACTTTTATTTTTCTGTTCTAAGGTGAGTGATAAGAGGTGAGAAACTTTGATTGGTTTGGTGTAGTAAATTAGGTGATAATCTTAATCATAATGCTAGATAAGCGTATCAACATTGGTTTCATGATTTTGTTGAGCAGATATTACAACTTGAATTGTATTGATCTACACTTAAGCATTGTACTTTAGCCAAGTTCTATATGACAATGGAGACAAAACCATCATTTTCAAATGATAAATTAGATGTGCAGTCATTCAATTTTCTTTTTCCTTTTTGTAACACAATTTTCATAAGAGAATATATAATTATTCTTTTTGTGATACAAACAAAATGAAATAGACCTTTGTTTTATTATTATTTAATGAAATATAATTCACTTTTATTCGACAAAATAATGTTTCATACAAGCTACGGTTTCATTTGTTTTATTCAAAATTTTTTATATTGAAAAAAAAACATTAATGCATTATGTGCCCTGTGAACACACGGGTCGAGAACCTAGTTTAAATAAAATAAAAGCCAAATGGGTGGGAAAAAAGAAAATATTTTTGTTATTTTTTATAGTGATTTTTAGTTTTTTAATTATAGGTGAATTTCGGTCATCAAATTTATTATTTTATTAAAAATAAACTAATGGAAAAGCGCTAGAATTGATGAAATTTTTGTTAATTGGCCAATATAAAAAACAATCATGACAAAGTACTCCCTCCGGTTTCAAATATTTGTCGTTGGAGATAACCACAAAAATTCCCAAATATATGTCGTTCTCACATTTCTAGGTATATTTTTCCAATTTTTTCCAAAAATACCCTCATGCACAACAACAACCTATATTCAATGTTATCGTGATTCTCCATGGCTGTTCACATTTTCATCTTCCTTCATCATAATTAAAATCCCTCAACCAACAATCCCTCATTCAATAAACCATGATTCTCAAGAATAGTCAATCCAACTTCCCAAAATTTTCAATCTTCCAATACTTCAATGGAGGAAAATAGCCAATATTTAATCAATCCACAAATTCTCCACTCTTTTTGCAGCAAAAAGCACCAATTCTCAAGCCCCTTTTGCAACAAAAGAGATGGAGGACCAACATCAGGGCCGAATTGTGAAGAATTGCACGGAGGTTAGGAAAGAGAAGAAACCAGCAGAGTTTGATTTGAATCTTCCGGTGGACATGGGCTTTGATTTGAATGAAATTCCGGAAGAAAAAGATGAAAAAGTCAATTTGAAAGAGCGACTTAATGCAGAATGTGTTGAAGCTCAGAAACTTAGTAAAGACACCGTGAAAGCAATCTTGAAAATTTATTTTCCTTATCTTTATAAAGATTAGTTGTTTCTTGGGTTACATCAGTGGATGATAACTTTGGTGGGTTGTATAATCAGATTAAATGTTGGAGTATCGACTAGTTGCTTGTTTTGGGCAATGGAATTGATATTATTGTAATTTTCTGGAGATTCTTATGTAGTAGTATTTCATCTCTAAAAATTCTCTAATTTCACCCATTCTCTGCATTTTTTTCTATTTGCTCTCATCCCATTCTTTTTCTTTTTTGTGATATGATTGATGTGAGTGGTGATGTTCTGATATTAACTTGAATGGCAGTGGCTAGAAGTTATAAATGAGCTCATGTTTGTATTTCTTTTTTTATGACATTTTTGTATTCATGATAGATCTTTAGTTGTTCATATTCAACTTCTTACAGAGACAAGATAGAGTTATTCTCATAGAAAATACTGTGGGATGATGATCAATTAGAATTCATTTTTATCAGTCATTGTTAGATTTAACCCATGTTGCCAAGGATACAGTTAAAAGATGAAGTCAAGGCTGTAAATTTGAGTCCAAATTTGGGTCCAAATTTGCTTAATTAATTTAGTCGTTCTCTAAATTCAATTGATTTTTCTAAGGAGTTATTCCAAATTTGACACACATAAGTTAAGTAATCAAACATCAAAAACCACAGAGAATGTAGTTTAGCTAGAGATTTCCTTAGTTTATTTTCTTTTTTTTGTTTTTTGCTGCAGACAAGTGAATAAATTCCAATATTTTAAGTAATGCATCAAAACTGACTATAAAAACAATTTCATATTGGAATGTGAATGCAAGTCGCAAATTTGCAGCTGGGGTACATATCATTATTGATGATGAGGAGGCTACTGACCAATTTCTAAACAAGATTGAACTTCGAAGCGCTAAGATGTTTGACCTTACTATAAGTGAAAACTCAGAGAAAGCCACGAACATCTACAATCTGTTAACAAATGGATCCAATCACAGTCTAATTATTGTCAAGCTCTAATCTTCGTCATCATCAAAGTAACGTCTTTGCGCTCATTAGCTTCTTTGGCTTTGGCAAGGAGCTTATCGAGATCTTAGCGAGACTTGGCATCCCACTTCACCATTTGATTAACAAAAAACGGCTCCTAATCTCATTCCAAGCAAATGCTCCTTAGCTTGATTGATTAGGCATAAAGGAAAAGTAACCCCTTCATTTTTTTAAGTTGGAAACCATAAAAAGATCGCCTAAGGGTACCATCATTATCCACCATTTTCTTTTTTTTTTGCAATCATTTTGACTAGCATTTATTGATTCAGTGCTTAGTTGTGTTATATTGACAGCTTTTACTTGGAAGAAGAAGAAGTATATAAATTCTCTCTATTATTTGTTGAACAATTCTACTCTGAACTAAAACTAAAAATAAAGTCAGACTGGATATTTCTTCATTTTGTTTCCATAGCAAAGTATGTAGACGTGAAAAAGAAGATCGCACTGATCACGGGCATCCAAAAAACATAAGCAAAAAATGGCTAATGCTTTCAATATAAAAAGCGAACAACAACAAAAAATGACAAAATACGTACTGCTTCCAAAAAAAAAAATTCACTAGGATTGTTCCAGAGTAGGAAAAACAAAACAAAAAGTATGCATAACTCTAGCTTACCAACAATAAAAACTAAACTTGACTTAAAATTTGACTAACTCTTGCAATTAAAGCAGCATCACATCTCACTTGAACATGAAGCATGCCTAATTTTTCTAGTTTTTCTGTGTAAATATGTGGTGGATTACGTTTATGGGTATCTCCTGCTTTCATGACTTCAATCATAACCAGCTGCAATGTCACAAATATCCGATTTGACTTCACAATACAAAATTCCTCAAATGACTCGTATACTACAATCAGAAGCTCCTTCACTGTCTTGGGAGATTTCATATTTTTTAAGGCTTGAATTGCAGCAAAAAAAACCAAGGTCCAAAACATTCAAATCTGGGGAGTTCACAGGTTGGCAGATGATTCGGATATCAAATCCACCTTGTCTTGCAGCTTCACAAAAAGCGGGATCATTAGGATATATATGTGTCCTTGCATTGTCTTGTTGAATAATTATTGGATGCATTACATCCTCTCTCGGCCATTATTCCCTAATAGCCGGTAAGACTTTTTCAATCATGTATTTTCTGTACACATCTCTTCCCACAGATTTGATCGGTTTTGTCTCCAGTGTACCTGCAGGTCTATTAGCACTTTTCCTTTTAGCTGGTTCTTCAGTGACTAAAGCCCACACTCCAATTTTTCCGGAGAAGGTAACATTACCTTCTGCATCAAATCTTGGACGAGCTATGGCGGTCAAGAACATAACTTTTTGAATAAAATTTTTGTTCTTGACAGTACGATGTGGACCGGGCTCATCAGGCAATAGGTTAATGTTCACAGTGTCATCAGTCATATTAAACCATTTCTCATCAACATGAACAACATTATACATACCTTTGAATTTTGGATCGTCCGGCAAGCTACTTTCTTCAAGCATAGACATGCAAAAATGTAAGCGAGACTTTTTATTTTCCTCCGTTAAATGAGGCTTCAAAGTGTTGGATTCGCGCCTTAGAGCTCCAGACTTGAACAATTTAAAGACTTTAGTCTTGCTAATATCAATTTCTTAGCTAAAGACTCGAGAGATCTCCGCTCATTGAAAGGAATAGCTCGAACTCGATCAAGATCAACCTGAATTCTTTTGCGGCCACAATTTGATGCTTTTCGGCTCGATACATCACCGTTAGGGGAGTTTCTCGATTGTTGCCAAATTCGTTGAACAGTGCGAATGTTAACTGAA